GGGTACAGTGGCTTCAGCTGCAGTTTCCATGGTGGAGATATAGGAGCTGGGGTCTTCGCAGCCCTGGGTATTGGGGTCTTTGCCGTGGGAGCTGTCTTAGCCATCAGGGGTTACCTAAAAGTCAAGAAACTGAAAGAGAAGCCTCCAGAAATGTTGGTGTTTTAGGCTTCTTAAAACATTCTACCAAATATAAGTGATGGAAATTACTCTGAACTACCATCTTTTGTAAGAATTCTTTGTTGTAAAACTTGCCAGAACTTCAAAAGTAGCAAGCCAACTTCAGTAGAGGTGGGCTTAGCTCCCAGTTGTGTGAAGCAGCATTCTTTGGCACAACCAACTTTGGATTTTGGAATCCTGTTATTGAGGGAGTAACCAAAAGAAAATTTTTTTTTAAGATGTTGATGGATCTTTATTTTATTCATTTATTTTTATATGTTGTGTTGAGAATCAAACCCAGTGCCTTGCATATGTTAGGCAAGCGCTCTACCACTGAGCCACAACCCCAGCCCCCTAACCAAAATTATTTTTTAAAATAAATAAATAAATAAAGCCTGGAATCCAGGACTCACAGGGGAAAGGCATGTGGTACATAGTGGCACACACTGTAATCCCGGCAACTCTGGAGGCTGAGGCAGGAGGATTGCAAATTCAAAGCCAGTCTCACAACTTAGTGAGACCCTGTCTCAAAATAAAAGAAAAAGGACCAAGGATGTAGCTCAGTGGTAAAACACCCCTGGGTTCATTCCCCGGTACTAAAAGAGACAGAGAAAGAAGTATAGTTCTTGATTAAATGAGGGAAAATAACCAAGCAAATTGAAAGTACCTTATCTTCAGAGTTCATCAGAAGTCACAGAGGCAGGAGACAACTTTAGCCTGAACTGTTCTGGACACAGCTGTCTTCAGCAGATAGCCCATAGTCCTTCCGCTGCCACAGTTCACCGGGAAAAGGGGGCAGGGCTTCCAGAAGAGCTACCCCTGGAAAATTTAAGTTGCAAGTGGGCGTGGGCTGGGCAAAGAGGAGTCAGTTAACTCACTGGGTTGCAAAGAAGCTATTCTGTAAGCCCCTCACAATGGCTGGAAAACTCAATAAGTGTTTTGTACCTCTCCTAAATGTATCATTGTATGAAGAATTAAACCTGAGGTCTGGAATTCAGGATCCATCCAGAAGAAAAGAATGTATAATCCTTCCCAACAGGAGAATGTCACTTTTGGCCAGACAACTTCATGGGTTTTTACTGCACATGGAATAATGACTTATGGAACATTACAATATATTCTTGGTACAAGTCCATTCTTTGCTTATGTGAATCCAAACAAAAAAAATCCAAAGAAAAATTTGAATTTCAAAATGATGGTTCTCTTTAAAATATGTTTATATCATTCTCTTGAATAAGGTCAGTTTATTGCATTTAGAAGATAAGTTTGAGTTTAGAAAAGGAAGTTCAGATACATGTATGTGTATGATTGTCAAATTTCTTGAATAATACATAAGAAAGTATTAACAGTTTTGTAGAGAGAAGGGGATTTTTTAAAATTTTTAATTTTATACATGACTGAACATGTATTCATTTTAGAAAAATAAAAAAAATTAAAAATTGGATTTGGTTTCCTCTGTTTTTGTTTTTTTAAGAATTAAATTTATAGTGCAAAGGCAGAAGTAGATGTATGATTAAGGGGTATTAAATGGCCAGCCACAAAAACAGCCTTACCCAGAAAGATGCTATTTATAGCAAAGATCTGTGAGTTTTTGAGTCTACACTTCTACAGAGTTCTTTGCTGTCTTCCTGAACACTTGTTCCATCCCAACTTGGATATAAGTGACAGCTATCTCTGGTGGTCATCCCTATCATATTTCTCTGGTGCCTGTGTCTCTTTCTGCACTAGCAGCTTGCTTAAAAATACTTGAACCTGTTTGATATTGGTAGCTAAGCCAGCTCAGGCTTGGCTGGTTCCTGGAACAAAAATACATGATCATATTCCTTCAACAGACCCAATATCATTAGACCCAGAAGTCAGCTGTTATCCCTCTCAGTTGTTGCTGTCAGTAGGGTGATTCACAAGAGCTAGATTTATTCCATTTCAGCCCAGCAGATGTGTGCTACATGGGTCAGGACTCCACTGGTTTGGAAGAATCTGTCCCAGAAAGAAAATGGTCATATTTCCTGTATCTTGGGCAGTCTGGGTTTGATGTTACTTGGATTTTTAAATTAAAAGAATGCAGCTTCTCAAGTGAGAGCCCATGACTGCTGTGTCTCTTGGTCCTTCAGGAATTTGTGTGGGCCCACAGGAGATAGGAATAGCAAGCCCACTGTCGCCTGTGTCCTTTAGCTGCCCAGATTATAGACTTCACTGTGCCACCTATGTCATTGATGGTTGTCTTAATTCTGGAAACAACACTCTTAATAAATCTGTCCCATTTCTTAAGCCTCTCACCAATTTACATTTTAGAAACAATAACCTGTGATTTTCAGAGACAGTCATCCCTTGGTATGCACAGGGGAGCTGGTTCCAGAATCCCCCGTGGACACCAAAATCTAAGGATGTACCAGTCCCTTGTATAAAATGGCATAGTATTTGTAACTAATCTATGCATATTCTCTGTATACTTTAAATCATCTCTAGACTAATTACAATCCAGGGGCTGGGGTTGTGGCTCAGCGGTAGAGTGCTTACCTAGCATGTTCCAGGCCCTGGGTTCGATCCTCAGCACCACATGAAAATAAATAAATAAAAGGCATTGTGTCCAACTACAACTAAAAAATAAGTATTTTTTAAAAATTACAATCCCCAATCCCATGCAAATGCCATGGGAATTGTCATTTTTGCTGTATTGTTCAGGAAATAATGACAAGAAAAGAGTCTACGTGTTCTGTACAGTTAAATTTTTTTTCAAATATTTTCAATCCTTGGTTTAATCTGTAGATGCAGAACCTGCAGGTATGGAGGGCCAGCTGTGCTTGGCCCTCACCACAGCATTGTGGGATAAGACTGGAAACCTTGTCTTCATTGGTCAGATAAAGTGTCTGAGGCTTAGAAAGACTGAATGACATGGGCAATATCACAAGGCAGGAAACAGTGGGGACTTGAACCTGGTGTTTCCACTCCAGGTCCATTTGCATTTCCCTTCTTTCTCACCTCTGAATCCCAAGGAAATGATAACAGACATTTTCCTCAGAAGGGTCTGGGACCTCTGTTGGTACCAGATGAAAGCTAAGCTCGGACAAGAAGATATTCAGTCTCTGTTGGCTCTTACTATCTTGCAGCATTTGTGGATTCCTTAAACTTAAAAGAACACTGTCCCGGGCTGGGGATGTGGCTCAAGCCGTGGCGTGCTCGCCTGGCATGCGCAGGACGCTGGGTTCGATCCTCAGCACCACATAAAAATAAAATAAAGATGTTGTGTCCACCGAAAATTAAAGGGTAAATATTAAAAAAAAAAAAAAAAAAAAAAAAAAAAAAAAAAAGAACACTGTCCCCACTCTGCACCACTAAGTGAACAGTCCAAGTATCCATCAGGATCCATCTGGTTGAACAGACTGGTCCATCCATACAATGAAGTTGGAGGCCATGCACAAAGAATGTGGTCATTCTGTAGAAACTGATGTGGAGAGAGCGGTAGGGTATAGTAAATGCAAAATGCAAATACAGACCTGCGAATATGGTACACTTTTGTGAAAAAAGCCAGAGAAGGGATGAAATGCAGACTTGTGTATGTTTTTATTTGTATAAAGGAACACTGGACAATTGTAATGGAAACTTAAGTGGTTAAGGATAGAGAACCATGTGTAGAGACTTGAATGGACTTTCTCAGTTTATGTGTAAGTTTTGTTTTTTGTTTTTGTTTTTTGAGGGGGTTTTGGTAGTGAGGATTGAATCTAGGAGTGCTTAACCACTCAGCCACATCTCTAGCCTCCCCCACCTTTTTTTTTTTTTAACAGTCTCACTAATTTGCTGAAAGTAGCTTTGAACTTGAGATCCTCCTGCCCTAGCCTCCCAAGCCACTGGGATTACAGGTGTGCACCACTGTGCCCAGCTAATTCTTATGTTGTTTTTTAAAACTTTTTATGTTGGGCTAAAGATGCAGCTCAGTGGTGAAGTTGCTTGTCTAGCATGCAAAAGGCTCTGGTTTATATCCCCAGCACCACACACACACAAAAAAAAATCATTTTGATATATTCACAAGTCACAAAAATGGTACAGAGAAATGCCTGTGTGCCCTTAACCTGATTTTCCCCAATGTTACATCTTGCATAACTATAAACAATGTGTGTAGTCTATGCAGTTTTTTCACGTGTAGGTTCTGGTTACCGCCACCACCATCCAGAGCTGCCGGATCATCACAGACATCCCTGGTGTTTTTATAGCCACACCCATCTCCTTTTCCTCTCACTCAGTATGTAACCTTTTGAGCCTGGCTTTTTTTCTATCATCATAATTCCCTTGAGATTCGTCCACGTTGTTGTCTATGTCAACAGCTCATTCCTTTTTATTGCTCATCAGTGCATTCTGTGGCATGAGTGTACCTGTGTAATCGTTCACCCACTGAAGGACATTGGGGTTGTTCCCAGTATTGGGCTATTATGAATAAACCTACTGTGGGCTGCGGATATAGCTCAGTTGGTAGAGTGCCTGCCTCACATGCACAAGGCCCTGGGTTCAATCCCCAGCACCAATAAATAATAAATAAACCTACTATGAACACTACTGTATGTGTTCTTTTGTGGACAAAAGTTTTCATTTCTTTAGGATAAATCTCTTAATCTCATTATCAGTCACAGGGTTACATGGTAAATGTGTATGGAGTATTTATAAGAACAGCCTAAAATTTCTCAAAGTGGCATTCTGATATTTCAAACATATTTTTAAAACAACCACCCACCACAAGCAATTCAAGAATGTTGATGTTGAATGTGACCATGTTCTTACAATCGGGTCAGCAGATCCGCTAGTCTGACCTGGTGAGTGATGTCAGTGTTTACCTTGACTCTCTCTTCCTCTAGGTGTGGTACAGATAGTGGAGGTGATTTTGAACGGGATGGTTCTCATGTGTATCGTGGCCTCCTACTTTGTCCTTGCTGGATTCAGCGCCAGCTTTGCCAGTGGTGGTGGCTTCGGAAACAACTACTACTCACCATTTGAGGGCACTGAGCTGGAGGAGGTTCGGCAACTGGACCAGAAGTATACAGTCCTCCGGGCACCTCTGATATATGGCGGTGTGGCTGTTTCTCTGGGGCTGGGTGCCCTCACCATGGGCGTTTTACTCCAAGGAGCCAAGAGCCTAACAAAACTGCCTAGAAAGTGGCTCCTCTTGGAGGCCGCCTTCAGCCTCCTGGCAGCAGTGGGCTACTGCGTAGGCATTGGCGTTTACCTCCACGTGGCATTGCAGATCAACTCCACGGACACCTGCAAAACAAGAGAGAGGCTCTACGCCCGCAAGGGTCTCACCTGGATGAACTGCCAGCTGGCAGGCACTGACGGAGCAGCAGCCACCTTTGCTTGTCTCCTGGTGATTATGTACAGTGCCAGTGTGGTACTGGCCCTGCGGAGCTACCGGGAACAGAAGTTCTACAAAGACAGCCAAGAAGAGCAGAGAAATGGCAGGGATGTCCCAGAATACCTGTGGTCTGGGACGCTCTAAGGGAGACCTTCTGGAACATAATTGTCAACCCAACCCCATTGTCTCTCTCAAGAGTCAAGTCTTTCACAGCCACTGCAAACAACTGGTTTTCACATACTCAATTTTATAAGTGCTTCTTTTGGTACGAATGCAGAGTTAATTGTCTCATTTTTCTGTTGTAAAGGGAGATCAGTATGTCCTTGTTGGCTGACCCGATGATCACTTGAGAAAACTAGTACAAAAAGCAACATCAGAAGTCAGGCTATCCCCTGATGGTGATGCTATCTTACCATATGATAATGGTAGAAATAGCCAACTAGCCAGAGAAATTTCAGAAGCTGAGAACAACACATCCGAGGGTAACTCGTCCAGCGTTACAGTAGAAATCTCACCTGTCATAACTATCTTGAGTCGTCAAAAGGAATAAGCAATCCTTGCTTGGTTCCAGGGAAAGACTGTAAAGCAGTGCTGTGAGTGAATTCTAAATGGGTAAATCTCCCCTGTCCCCAGAGGGGAAGAATTCTTCTGTTTGAGTGCCACTAGTGTCCCCTGCACCTGCATACTGCCAAGCAGCCCCCTTCTTTAAGAGTTGGGAGTTGGGTTTCTGGGAAAGAGATGTTTTCAGCAAGCTTGATCGTCCTCAGGACCCCTGCCTCGGGGCTCACGGAAAATATTTCCTACCAGCTATTCCAAGAGGGTTTCTATTCCCATCCACTGGAATTCATTTTGAAGTATTTAGAATTTTTTTAAACATGAGGTTTCCAAATAGTGAGAAAACTCACAAGCTTCTTAAAGATGTCATTCAACTAATTTCAAAGATAAAGCAGTTAATTTTACTAGACTCCAAAGGCTAATTGGAGAACTTCTCACTTCTGCATTCCCCTACTTGCAGGCCTTCCAAGGAAGATAGTGACCCTCATCCCCCGCACCATCTTCATAATGTAAGAGATTTCTGACATGGAATCTTAAACGTCTTTTCAGTAATTGCCATCTGAAGTGTTATACCTGTTCTTGTACTTTACAGTTAGTCTCAAATGTTTCCGTTTGTGTCAGATCCAACTAGAAATATTCACATTCTCTTTATCTGGGTCTTTTTTGCATTCTCTTGCTTTTCCATAGCTAATTCTTATGGAACCTATCCAAGACAAAAAAAAGTCAGAAGTAAAATTCACAAAGAAATGAGAGAACAAAGCTTGGAAGAAAACAACCAACTGGAAATCTCTATTGCTCAGTTGGAATAAAGTCCACTATGCCACAGAAAGGTGCTTCCTGTCACCCTTAGCTTGGGGCAGTGACTAGAGTCCACACAAATTTCTCGAGTGGCAGAGATTTTAACAGCAGTAAAAAACAAACACCCACTCCTCAAGAGAACAATGCACACATACACTGGTCTCAACTAGCATTTATTCTCAAAGATCATATCCCTGTTAAATGATCTTTGCCCATGCTGGGCCTTTTGCTAGATAAAATGGGGACTTTGGACTACTTGACTTCAGCTTTGTGCCCAGGCCCAGCTGGGATACTGCTCCTGAGATGCAGCTCTCTTCACTGATAGGAGCCTATGGGTGACTTTAACAATACTCATGCATGTCCACAGTTTTATAAGGTTCAAAAGCTTTAGCACTTATTCACCACTTGTCAAGATTTGTTATTCAAGAAGAGAATAACAAGGTTCAAGAAGACCAAGTGTTTTACCCAATAATTAACATTTCATTGAAAGCTATGGGCCAAGTACATCACTGTGCTCAAGTACTTTGGGTCCTCTTATTTAAGTTCATGACTGATGACAGATACTATCTTAACAAATAAGAACCTCTGGGTGGGGATGCAGCTCAGTGGCAGAGTGTTTGCCTAGCATGCATGAGGCACTCAGTTCAATTCTCAGCACTAGAGAAAGAGAATTGAGAGCACATGAGCGTGCAAGCCTTAGGAAAGTGCCATAACTTGCCTAAATGACAAAACTTTCAAGTAACAGACAGAACTCAGACCTACTGAATCACCTGATGGTGACTAACATGCTTTTGCCTTCAGTGTCCTAGGGAGTGCAGAACATATCCAAAGAAATGTGTTTCTGCCACCCTGGACCAGGGAGGCATATCTTATGGAACTAGGGTATTAAAGTAGATGGTGGTGTAGTAACCAGTAATCAGGTGTTGAGGCAACAGTTGTCAAACCTAAGTTTTCAAAATGTTCATTCTCTAGATGAGGAAATCTGCAAAATGCCTTTAACATGGCCTTTATTTGGAGCAAGGTAGCTAATCTTCCTTGGAAGTCAGGAGACAACAGTGGGGGCAAGGATGGCGGCACCCATTTGTAGGCTCTAAGTAGATTAAAAGTATGTTGGAAGCAAAAACCACTAAACTGAAGTTCTACCATGAAGCCATTATGTTATGGAACATGTGACGGCCCACTCTGCACACAGCCTGTCATCACCCACTTTGTGATTATTTAAAGAAAAGCTGCAGATCATTTATAATCGAGTTTCTTCTGATCAGCTAATAACCTTCATGTAAATAAGGACTGCTTCCCATCATTGGGAACATATGAACCAAGTCAGGATATGATGTTTCTTAAAAACCTTTATTGCTATTTCACTTGAAATGGTGCTGTTTGTGTGTAGTTGGAGTGTCCCCCAAGAGTCCACTGTGATCGAAGGCTTGATACACAGGGTGGCGCTAATGGGAGATGAGGTCTTGTGGGAGGAGGACCTTAGGTCACTGGGTACAAGTCCTCAGAAAATGGGTCTCCTGGGATCCTCTGGTAGTTCTGAGGGGATTATTATATAAAAGCCTAAGTTGGGTCCCACACAGCTCTCTCTGCTCCTTGATGTGAGATGTAATTGCTGGCTCCCAAACATGCTTCTGCCATTGCTATCCACCATGACATGACACGGCTGAGACCTGAACCAATGCCAGTGCCATGCCCCTAAGGCTCCCAAACTCTTCTTCAAAAGTAACCTGTGTCAGATATTTTGTTACAGTGATATAAAGCTAATACAAAAGGTGATCAAGAATATAAGGTCCTTGCTTAGCATCTAGATGGCCATCTTAAGTGACAGCTGCCATATTAAGGAAAAAGTTTTGCTTTCCTGCCCAAGGGCCTTTCTGAGAAAGGCTCACCTTTCCCTCATACCAACCCAACCCTTAACCACCCGCATTAGGGACCAACTCTGATTCCTGAGCCTGCCCTATAAAAGTCCTGGAACCCAAGCCTGTTTTGCCCCTCTCTCCGCTATAGAGAGATGACTTTTATTTGTCAGTTCTGATAAATAAATTCTCGTGTGTATCTCTGCCTGGTCTCCGCCTTTCATTTCTTGTTTACCTGTCTCTTGTTTCTTGCTTTCCCTTCAAAGAATATTTTGCCTTAACTCATATAGCCTCAAAGTGTCATGGAATATACTCCATGTATTTGTTCTTGCTTATCTTCCTGAAGCAGGAAAGAGAAGAAAGGGGCTGGGGTTGTGGCTTAGTGGTAGAGTGCGAGGCCCTGGGTTCGATCCTCAGCATGATGTAAAAATAAATTATAAAATAAAGGCATTGTGTCCAACTACAACTAAAAAATAAATATTTTTAAAAAGAGAAAGAGAAAGAAAGATCTTAAAACTACTTTTGGTTAAGAACCTAATTCTATAATAAAAGTTAGGGAGAAAATTCTAGATTCATGCTAAAATATTTGTAAAATAACAAGCATTCCATTTTAAAACAAAGGCATGAAAAAGATATTCCATTTTATTTTATTTATTATTGTTATTATTTTTTACAAACAATAGATTTGCTGCAACATGCTCTGGCTCATATTATTGAATTAAAAAATTTAACACATTTCAAAAATATCAAAAATACACTATAATGAGTCTTAGGACTACAATACAACGATGATTGCACAAAACCATAGATATGAGCCCACTGTCTGGCTGACATCCAGTGGCAACAGTTAGAGAAACCCTACAGCATCTGGGAGAGGTGCATGAGATTTAGAATACAAGGAGCTTATGCTGATTAATCACCAAATGAGGGAAACAGAGCAGGTTTGACTGCAGCCACTTTTCTCAGTCTAGGAAGTACTTACCCAACCACGGGGAAAAGTCACTAACTGGAAAGAAAGAATAACTTGTGTCCATGATTGGGGAGTCTGGAAGGCTCCACCCAGAGGGAAGTAAAAAGTGACAAGACAGTTCTACAGTGATGCTGTGGACATCACTGGATGGCTTGGAGACTAATTCTTTAGTAATTGATACATTTATCATTAACAGCCATATGCTCCCTTATGGAGGTCTCTTCATTGATAGTTATTAAATAGATAAAGAAGGTGAGCCTGTGGCTTCCAAGTACCTGCTTTTGTTGAAGGTCTACATAGAAAGAAGAGCATCATTTAATAGATCTGCCAAACGCAACTGGCTCCATCTCCTGGAAAACAGCACTCGCTACAAGCAATTGTAATAGCACCCAGTGATGCCATGTTGCTTGTGTTGGCTCTTCTGTACGCCAGGAAAATGGGTTCAATGACTTATTGCACATATACACTCTACAGTAGTATAATAAAGCCCTCACTACGTCAGAAATGGTAATTCAATGATTTGACTATGGTAGCACTAGAGCTTTATGTCATACCAACATTGAAAATTTCGGGTGTATTTCCAATCCATTTGGATAAATATATCAAGCCACATGTATTTTCCTTTCCCCATGGGACTCCTGAACTGCACCCATAACCAGAAGTTGTTTTTTTTTTTTTTTCCAGAAATTATCTTAAACTCTGTTAAGTGGGAGGTACATGCAGAGACCCAAGAATCAGGCAGAGACCAGGCTCTCCATGCTAGGGATCACCTGTACTCTGCCCACCTGGGGAACATACCCTCTGAGTTAAGGTATCGAGAAAAATGACACTCATTTGCAGACAGATTACTGGCTTTCATTTGACAGCCTACTCAGATAACAACATCTGTCAATTACCTCATAGGGCAAATGGGGTATGTATTTTTGGTAATGAACTATGGCCTTTTAACCTTCTGTTTTAATACA